GTGCTTTAACCTGCTGTGCCACCAGAGAGGCCTGGATTGATTTTTTAAAAAGATTTAAAAAAATCTTTGTGCCACCTCCCTGGTGGCACAATGGGTTTAAAGCGCAGCACTGCAAGCTAGCACAGCTGCTTCTGTGAGAGTTCCATCCCCAGCCCCGTAGGTGACCCACATGTTGTGGCTGGCCTCTCCTGACCCGCCCGCTGCTCCCCTCAGCAGTGTACTTCGTTGATCTGCCTGTTCAGCTCCCCACTCTGCCGCTGGCCTCTCCTGACCCGCCCGCTGCTCCCCTCAGCAGTGTACTTCGTTGATCTGCCTGTTCAGCTCCCCACTCTGCCTCTGGTGAATCTTCTCATCATCTCTGTACCCCAGTTCTGTATGCATAAATCATCTTTTTTTAAAGATTTATTTATTTATGCATACAAAACTGGGGTGTAGGCCAGAGATGTGGGAAAGTGAGAGTACTCACCAGAGACAGAGTGGGGAGCAGAACAGGCAGATTGACTGAAGGGCACTGCTGAGGGGAGCAGCAGGCAGGTCAGGAGAGGTCTGCTGCGCCATGTGGGGTACCTCCCTAGCCGGTGATTGAACTCATGCTGCAAGAGCTTCATAGTGCTGTGCTTTAACCTGTTGTGTCACCAGGGAGGGACCAGCTTTCTGAAACTCTTGATGGGAGACCTCAGATCCAGAGTTCTTACAGTCTGCCAGGGTTCAAGGCTGTGTCAAGTGTCACCTTCGGACTTCACTGACAGAACCTGTAGCTCTGGGTACATGTCTCTCCTCTGGAGAGTCCCAAGATGTCCTGGGGTTTCAGGGCCTGCCAACACTGACATTCTTTTGACCAGCTGTAGCCTTGAGTGAGGTGCCAAGCTGTTTCCTTGTGGGAGCTGAGATTAATCTGGCTCCTGAAAACCTAACATTCCAGATGGAGTTTTGGCAACATACCACATTTCCAACGGTCTATTATAGACAGGAAAAAAAGTGTCTTGCCAGATTTATGCAAATAAACACATTACCATGAGAGAATATTTAGGAAAAGTTTTAAGATCTCAGGGAGAGAAAAGCAAGGTCTCAGTTTCATTCACAAAAATGTAATTTACTATTGCTGTAGGCCATAGTTTAAAATGAGAAAAAGTGGTTTTTTTAATCTGGCACTAGCAGAAGTTAGGCTCCAGTCTGGGGGAAAATAAGGGACATTCAGAGAACCTGTGTGGACTGGAGTGACTAAGGAAAAGAGGTTCCATGAAGCAGATCCTAAAGGAATTGACTTTCTTTCGCAGGCGGAAAACACATTTTTTAAAAGATTTATTTATTTATGCATACAGAACTGGGGAACAGGCCAGAGGTGCGGGGTTTGGTGGTGAGAGGATCCATCAGAGACAGAGTGGGGAGCAGAACAGGCAGATAGATGCACTGCTGAGGGAAGCAACAAGCAGGTCAGGAGAGGTCTGCTGTGCCATGTGGCTCACCTCCCTGGCTGGGAATTGAACTTGTGCTTCAGTGGCTGTAAATAACTTCATAGTGTTGCACTTGAACCCATTTTCCCACCAGGGAGGGCCCCAGGTAACATCTGTAATTATGATCAATCAAATCTTGTCTTGGAAATTGTGTTGCAAATAACACCCCTGAATCTCCAAGCACTATAAATAAGGGTGTAAACCCAGTTTTGCTGTATTTATTCATTTACCATCACTGACATATATTGCAAAAATAACACAGATGAACAGTTACCTTAGCAGGATAAGGCAATGATTTAAAATGGATGTTTAAAAAAGGATCATGTTTCATGATTCATCTTTTAAGATCTATAGAAGTTCTGAACTATTACTATTCCATACTCTGCCAAAAAGCAGGTGATTCAGGCTCAGCTCTCATCTTAAATACTTATTTTCTATGTTACTAAACTATGGGAAGGAAAAACAAATCTGGACCAAACCTGCAAAATCCACTACCAAAGACCATGTTGAACTTGTGGGTGGAATGTTCTAGATACAGATAATCCGGGCCCTTGCTGTCATGATGGACACAATGTAGAAGCAGTGTTGTGATGAGCTCAGAGCAAGGGTTTGGGCAGGGTCTTCCCCAGAACCAAGGTCACTTCTACAGGAGTGCCTGGCCCAGAAAGGCTCCCAGAGGTCCTGATTTCCTTCTGCCTAGAAGACAGTCCGGGCACCCATCACAGGAGAAAAAGAAGTCAACCTAACAGCATGCAGCCTCTGAAAGCAACACAGAGAACCGTGTGTCCATGGTGTTTGCAGTGCGCATGCTCCTTCTGCGGCCTTGCCACTTTCGGGCAGGATAATCCTGGTTACAGAAGTGAGTTACTTTTCCTCTTTGTGCAATTTCCTCATATTATGTATAACAGGCTGTCACTTCGACCACGTCACTGGTATACCCTTCTCCCATGTACTTGTAGGTGTTTGATACACTGCTGATTGCCCAGTGGCAGCCCCTGTTGGTCGGTGCCAGAGCCTGAAGCTTAAAGGGCAGCTCGAGCTGGTGCCCAGTTCAGAACATCCAAACTCAGCCTCTAAAGGTGTGTACCTCGGGGAGGTGGCCAGGCCATCGTCTCAATGTCCCGGGGACCCTGGAGGTGGGGATGTGGGAGCTGTCGGGCCCAGTCAGGCCCCCTTCTCCAAATGCCAGAGAAGAGTGAAGACCACTTAGCAGCCAGCCCAGACTGCGGGTGAGCTCGTACATGTCCAACTCTCTGGCTCTCCTCCTCTCTCTGCCTGAGAATATCTTCCTCTTCTGTCTTCATCACTGGCCCTCACTTTTGTCAAGTCTGCCTATCTGATTCCCCCAAACACCACTACTACTGCCTCACGTTCATTCTTTTTTCTTGTGCATGTTGTTTTCTGCATCTCTGCTCTCCTTTGATGTCTGTAAACTCTGGCATCCTTCTCTGGGTACCTCGGTCCCTCTACCCATCTCATTTATTCTCTCCTCTCTCCCCTCCCCCACCCTGTCTCCTTCCTCCCCCACGCTCTCTGCCTGTATTCCATTTCCCCAGGGTCTCTGTCTGAGGGAGTGGACAGGGCAACCCACTCCACACTGCCTTGCTCTTTTCTGTGTCCACCTCTCCACTGCTCCCCACCCATCAAATATTTTCCATTTCCATGAGGCCACATGGATGGCAAACCCAGGGGCCATAAAAAGTGCCACCAGTCAGGGGGATCAGAGCAGGGAACTGGAGGTGGTGGAGACAGTTCAAGGAAGAGGTGTGGGGGAGGTGGTGGTGGGGGATTGGGGATGAAGAGAAGGCCCTGAGGGAGTTGAGATGCTTGCAGCCTGCAGATGGGATTAGTGAAAATAACCAGGGAAAGCATGTGGTAGGGCCTGTCTCTGCTTTTCTGGGTCTCCTCAGCTGGAGGGAAAGGGGACAGGTAGCCTGAGCAGCTCTGGGCTGGCTCAGTCCCAACTCTACGCTGCTGTCTTCACCCTGTGTTTGCCTCTGTCAGGAGCCAAGCCTTCCCAAAGTCTTGCCCACATTTGTAAGATTTATTTTTATTTATTTATGCATACAAGAACTGGGGAATAGGCCAGAGGTGTGGGGGAGGTGGGTGAAAGGATTCCAGACACAGTAGGGGTCAGAACAGTCAGATTGATGAAGTACACTGCTGAGGGGATCAGCGAGTGGGTCAGGAGAGACCTGCTGCGCCATGTGGTCACCACCCTGGCTGGGGATCGAACTGTTGCAGTGGCTGGCAACAGTTTGACAGAGCTGGGACCTAACCTCTTGCGTCAGGGAGGCCTCCTCCTTGCCCACATTTCTGACCCGCACGTAACTTCCAGTTATTTCTCTTAGTGTCGGCTCATTCTCCTTGGCTATTATTATTTTTAAAAGATTTATTTATTTATGCATGTAAGAACTGGGATGCAGACCAGAGGTGCAGGGGCACGGTGAGAAGATTCACCAGAGACAGAGGGGAACAGAACAGGCAGATCGACGAAGTACACTGCGCCATGTGGGTCAGCTCCCTGGCCTGCTGCAGTGGCTGCAGACAGCTTCACAGTGCTGGCCTAGCCCCTGTGCCACCAGGGAGGCCTCTTGGTTTTGGAATGTCTCTCCACCTCTATCAGCGCCGTGTCTCACCCCGTGTCTCTCTGTTTCTATTTCATCTCTCCGTCTTATGCTCTTACCTTCCCGTCTGACCCCCATTGGTATAAGAGAAGGGCCAGCCTGAGGACCCCTCAGTACCCAACTCCCAGATCCATGGATGCCAGGGCCCCACTACCCACAGCCATCCCAGCTCTCCCCCAAAAGTAGCCTCAGCTACTGAACCTGGTACTTGTCTGCCCATGTTTCACGCCCTCCGAGAAGCTCTGGAGTTCACCTGTCCTGCTCCAAGGCCCCACTGGTCGTGAGTCCATCCCACTCCCAGAGCCTGAGCTGTGGACCAGGTCCCGGGGGGAGAAGGCAGTGTTCAGCACTTGGTCTGGAATTGGCCAAGTGTTTGGCAACCTGGGAGACACAGGCGGAACGGGCCTAAGCGCCTAGTGGTCTGGAGGCAGAGCCTGCAGGGCCCTGGTGGACGGCACTGAAGGGCAGGAAGGGGTGGGGACCACAGAACCTGGCCGGGTGCAGCCTGCACACTCGTGGAAGGGAAAGGTTTGGAGGAGCTGGGGTAGCAGGGTCCAATGGGGCCTACAGGTGGGAGAGGGCGCAGCCCAGGTGCAGAAGGCACAGCACAGGGGATGTGGTAGGGATGCCCTGAGAGCTGCCAGGCCCTAGAGAAGTGTGGGTGGGGTGCAGGTTCGAAGCCTGGGTCCTGATGGAGCTTACCACCCTCTGGCCATTCAGGGGCGTCAACTCATGCCAGCACTGCCCAAAACCCCGAGGCTTAACTGGCACCATTGCAGCCGCGGGGGGGG